CCCCCCCCCCCCCCCCCCCCTCCCCTCCCGTCCGTACTGGGCAGGTGTTAGCTTGGGACCACGAAGAGTTCCCCGTGGCACTAGAGCTCATGAGACGCCTTTTCGCGCCCATTGTCCCACCAGCCCACGGGGGTACATTAGCCGTCCTATGCTGACGAAAAAGAGATGGAATGTGCATATAAGGTGACTCGGTTTATCATTCGAGACAGGGGGGGCAGGAACTGGGTCGGGGGGCTGGGGGTGGTAGGGGTGGTCGACGTCCAAAGTGTGCACGCAGTAGGCACGGGCGCCTCAGCAACAATGGATTGATGGGTGGACGCACAACGTGTGGATGGATGCAATTGCCATAGAAGATATGTAGGTGTACGCTCATTGCCTGGTGTTGAGTGGTTGAAAGAGAAAAACAGTGCAGGGGTTTGACGACGACACACGCATGATGTGGGCCTCCATGTGGACGCTTAACAACTTTAGAATATAATCCCAATCTCTTGTTTGAAGAGAGAAGTGTGAGCCAATGGCTGTCTCACCGTTCACCATGTGATTTTGTCGGTGTTCCCGCTCATAAACGCGGCCATCTGTCTCCCTTTCAAAGGAACAACGAAAAAAAGCGAGCAAATCATAATCCCGAAAAGGTTTCTTGGTAAATCGCACAGGAGAGAGAGTGAGAGAGAGATAACTACGCAGAATTGTGGGTCCGTCAGCGATTGCTGCGCTACTCGGAACAGCCCAATTGCGTTCCTTTCGATGCTTTGAACTTGTATCTCAGAACGCCTGATGCGTGGGCAAATCCTGCGGAGGGAACCAGGATTTGATTACGACAGAACGGCCGGCATCCAACGCATCCTTCGACGCATGGTTTTTGCTGGGAAGAAAACATAAGCGAGGATTGGTTTCTAGTATCACTTTGTGGTTCAACGTGTTCACACGCCAATACCCCCCTTCTCCACTACAACACCTGGTTCCAAGTAGACCGATGAATAACGACACACATCGATAAAAAAAAAAAAAATACGTACTCACGCCTAAGTCTTATCGATGGCTTGGTTCTCCTCCATGTTGCTCTCGACACGACATATTTGTCTCTCTTTTCCCGCCACATTTAGCAGGTCCCGTCCTCTTTGTCGGCCACCGTCTACTCTATTCTCGAAAATGAAACAGCGCTGAGACAGAAAAAGGAAGGGCGCCGTCAGTGTTGAACAACGCAAAGGAACACACCCCTTTGAACGTAAAAAAAACAAAACCCAAGCGACACCAAATGTCCGCAGAGTTCCATTGCACCAAGCCCACTACTCCCCACGTCCCTACGAATTTCAAGTGTTGCCACCACCAACGATCTATCCCCCCCAAGCCACGCACCTCCACCGCCGAAATCGAAACCCCGCTTTCCCGGTTAATTACGAGGAACGTTCCTCGAAACTTCTTGACGTCCGTTCTATGGATCGTTACCCGAGAACACTCCGAAACAAGACGCAACACGCAGGCACACCACGCACAAAAGCACGGCTGTGGTCAGAAGGTCATCACCAATACGACCGAGGTATTACTAGCCCAACTCAGCATGCGCCACGAGAATCACATACGTGCCTCTCGCCCCGTGGCTCCTTAGGAGTAGTAAGGACTGCCACGTTCTCCCGACCCTACCTGCGTTTCCTTGGGGAGATGAATGAAAAACAGAAATATAATAATAATTCGGAAAGCAGCCGTGACCAACGGCAACCTATTATTGACCCAACCCAGCTTCAAGTAACAAGGCAGGCGGCTCCTCTACCACAGCCGCCACCAGCGGCGTTTTCCGTTTGAGGAAGATTCCGCGGATCGTTCCGCGGCTCTCGCTGCCGCCTCCGCCTCCACTATGGCTTTCGCTTCGAAGTAGCGCCGCGAAAAATCTCCCACTCCCGGGACGACCTTCAACAAAAAAAAAAAAATGTACAAGAGTAACCAGCACAATTAGAAAGGTCTCTTGTTTGGCAAATTGCTAATAGCAATTTCACAATCGACCCACAAATGGGATGAGAACCGGTCGTTTGATGACATTCGCACCCACTTCATGTGCCCGAATCTCGTGTCACAGGTGGATGGTCGTTTTCGGCGTGCTTGAGAGTAAAGCCAGCGAAAGAAGAAAGCCAGAAGCAACAGAGCTAAACCACGTTTTGTGGGCTAGGTGGCACCAACTCGCACCTACACATGAAGGCGTCACCGGGACATGACCCGGCAAACACGCAGATTGACAAGTAGGGTACACACCGCACGCCGAAACAAGGTACACTACGCTCTCTTTGATTTTATATGTACAATTTCTTAAATACAGCTCGTTTTCGCCAAGACATGAAAATGTGGCACAAAAAAGAAAAGAAGAAAAGTTTTTTTTAGTCACGTATACCTGGTGGTCAGATCCTCGGGTCTCGCCATCCATTGCTGAGCACACCTGTCGCGAAAAACGAGTAACAGCAATTAAACCGTAGCGTTCACAGCGGAAATAACGTAAGTTCGGCGTTCGTATGGTAGATAGGTATCGGTCGATATGGGAGGTTAATGATGTAAGTCCGGCGTTCGTACGTTAATAGGCATCGGTCGAAATGGTAGCTTAAGCTTTCATCCTGGCAAGCTTAACCCACAAGTACCCCATCCCCCGTTCTTGGCATCCATTCACTACGAATTCCACACCCCATCGAGTGTTACTCCGTGTTCTGAAAACACTTGCAGATAGAAAAAAAAACTGGCCGCCCTTCACGTGTCTGAAGATTCTCAACACGTCTTCAGTGGAGACTATCGTCACGACACATTTACAATGTAATTACACACCACTCTCATGTCCTCCACTTCCTCCGTGAGCGTCTCGAGGGCATCCTTGCTGATGACAACGCTAACCAGAGTAACGTTCTCGTCTTCAACACCGGCCTGCTCCAGCCTCTCCAGGGCCGCCAATACCGGTTGGGCGTAACCGACCTTTTCCAAACATAATAAACATCAACGTGTCATTTGAAGGCGCCCGCGTCAGTTGAACCGGTTCGTGAGCATGTTTCAAGGTACCGAGCAAGGGGCCTGGGAACGGCTCTTCATTTGATCATGACAACAACAACGACTATTTCGGGACGAATAGTTCGGTAGTTTAGCTCCCGACATTTCGACGCCGGAAGGTGAAGCGTGTCACCAACCCTTGTAGTACGTAGGTGACATGACATAAGACACCACACCCCCTGCACCGATTTTCAAAGACCGATGGCGGCGCCGAAGATGATGGCGGGAGGCGTTGTAACCGTCTCGTCGAGATATTTCCGGAATGTATCATTTGATTTTGGCACCCTCTTCGTCGTGGAGCAGTCTTGCGTTGAAAACGGTCCAGGGGGTGCGGTATCTTGTGTCACTTGAGGTACAACTGAAATCGACAACACCACCAGAGGTGGGGACGGTCGTCAACAGCCACGGAAGGTGCGACATATAGCGTACACCAGGCACTCAACAAAAAATTAGCACAGTACAAACGAATCCCGGCAGAATAACGCCGGAACCCTAATCTGGAGGACAGGCGGAACCAAACCGCTACCTCGGGAGCTATCTATGGTAAGTAGCACCTGCAATCTCCAGCAGAGAACAACCACCACAAAAGCAACCAAAACACACAGCCTTCAGCAAGAGAACGAAGAAACAAGCCGCAAGCTCACCACGGGAGCTAGCAGCAATATCTGCTTCCCCTGCATGTCCCGCGGAAGCTCCCTAGAAGAACCCCGTGTGAGGCCCCTCACTCGGAGGGAACCCCTCTCGAAGGACGGGAACGCCGCGTCCAGCTCCATGTCGAATACCCCGCACGGCTCGTTCTCCAGGTACAGGGAAATGGCGCACACATTCACGTCATCTTCCGGCAGAACGCCCTGCCAAAATTTGCGGTATAATTGTTCACGTTTCGAGTTGCACGGACTGAACCGTAGGAGGCGAGCAGGGATTAAACGCCCTGCAAATATGCAGATGTGCGGCGTAAGTGTTAACGTTTCGAGTTGGGCCGACTGCGCCGTAGGGAAGCTTAAAGCTCTGCAAAACGGCAGATATGCGTAGATGCGATGTAATATAATTGTGGACGTTTCGAGTTGGACGGGCTGAGCCGTCGGTAAGTAGGTAACCGCCGCTGGTGGTCGGCACACATGGGGGTTGCACTCATGTGTGAAGTAGTTACGCCCCCCCAGACATGTAACGCCACGCTTACGGCAACAAGAAAAAACGCTGGATGAGTCACTATGCCCCCAGTCTCGGGTGCAAGCATGCTCGTAGTCGTATCTTACCAAGTGACACACTGGCTGCGCTCACTTAAACGAAAAGCGTCTGCGTATGCTTCTTGTTACCGTCAGGTTAAGGTGACGTCAGCATACGCCAGCGGGTACGATCATGTTCAACGGCGATGCAAGAAACAAGACACTTGCGTGATACCAACACACCAACCGATACACACGCCGTGATATGATAGCGGGAGTGTTGAAGGGAAAATAATGTTCTGCAGGAAAAAAAATACAAACAAGTAACACCGTTCGTTGCTTCCTTTGTTGCCTTAAGTACTGTACATTTAAACATGAGCGTTTTTCGCCTTGCACTCTGTTTCTCTCTCCCTGTCTCCCACTGGTCTCTCTCTGCCTCTGTGTGTGTCTTGGCTGGCTGTCTGTTTCTCTCTTTTTCTCGTTGTCCCTCCCTCTCTCCCTCTCTCCCTCTCTTCTCTCTATTCCCTCACTGATCTCTCTCTCTCTCTCTCTGCTGACTGCTTACCGCCATCATAACTCTCGCAGGGGTGGCAAACACCGCCTCATCGTCGTTGGGAAACCCCATATCGGCGAAGTCCAGCAGCTGGCGCATGAGCCTGTTGGCCGCAGACAGGAAGGCGCCCCCATCGGTCTCGACGTTCCGGACGACGCTCATCAACCCCTGTTGCATCATCCAGACAAGCCAGCAATGTGTTGGAAAAACAGATTTAAAAAAAATCACTTTTGCACGGTTGCAAGCGCCATGGCTTGCGGGTACAGCAGTAACACGAGTCTCACGTGGTTGTGGTTGTTGGTGTGGCTGTTGGTGTTGTCATTTTCTTTTCTTACATAATTCTGGCATTCAACCCTTGCTTATCTTTGCCCAGGAATTTAAACGTGTTGTGAGACACTAAAAAATGCAACACCCGCGGAGGCATTTTTTCTTTCTACAGAACACAAGGTACAAGCACAATATTTAACATAGGCCAACCGATAGACATACTAGCGCTGGCACGTCCCTCCCTATGGATCATGCATACGAACACCGTTCACTCCTTCCGATGTCAGACTTGGCTCTCTTGTCTCCGGACGCCGTTCTCGAGAGCAAGAAACCCCGGCACCAACTTTGTCGCAAACACAAAAGAATACACACCAACACACACAAGGCAGTCCACAGTCTAAACCCACACAGTCAATACACGCCGACCCAGCAGAACGATGACGCACCAGCACCGGCGAGTCCTCGATGGTCTCAAGGATCGTCAGGTTCGGATGCTTGGTCTTCCACATCTCGGCCTTAATGCCCACGCCAACGGCCTGGCCGGGCTCGTAGGGGGCGTCGACGCCATCCGCCAAGGAACACCCGACCACGGAGGTGCTACCGCCTCCGAAAGAGTTCAACTGAAGTGAACGGCGGTGAAGGCGGCAACAGCAGCAGGGCAGGCACGATGAAAAAGGGATTTAGTTAGGTCTCGAGATGCTGTACTGCCGTAGAGGCGTCCCCACTTCCAAAGACAGCGGCTATCAAGCGATGGAAGGCAGGGCCGCCTCGAGGACAAGCCGCAGCACACGCGATTCATCGATAACATACCGCTGCGGCTGCTGCCGAAGCGGCAGCTAATGTCGCCGCCGCTGCCGCTAGCGCCGACCCATTGCTTCCCTCATCCGGTGGTGCTGCTGTTCTCAGCCTGGTCCTCACAATGCCCACACCCGTCGAGGCAGCCCGCCTTGACGCCATGACTGCACCCGTCTGAGGCCAGGCTGCGCTTCTAACGACACACGCACAACAGCAGCGGTAC